GGCTACATCCGCCAACAGAGGATTGAGCTAGGATTCACACACATAGCCCATACACTGACTACGTGTTAGTTATCGGGTCAGAAGAATCTTCCCAAGCCAAGTGTCGTTAACAACACATTAACACAAGTGACAATATGGTCAAGTACGAGCCAGACACTCAATAAAGCAGCTGTAACACAATTATATCGATCGACAAAGAGAAGAATCTTGGCGGTGTATACATGGAGTCAGTCATTACAACACAGACCTTACAGGCGAAGTCGTAGAACTCGCTGGCGCCCTGTAGACTGCCCTGGCGCGGCAGAATCGGAATTCCGTTTGCCGTGGGTCGCTTTGCTGCTTTAGAAGACTTTTTACTCCCGGCCTTGGACATCCTAGTCCCCCCGAACGCATGGAGATTGCTACCGGGGGCCTTTAAGCGCCGCCACCCATTCCGCTCGCCAAGTCCGGTCGGCCCGCTGACTAGCTCTCCTGTCCCGTTGCACACGGATACAACTAGCAGCCAGCGGGAAGGGTGTGTATGGGGGTCCTGCGCAGATCTGACTTCGATTTTTGTCTTCACTTTTGGTAAGGTTTTTGAAGTGTGCAAATGCTTTTGTTGTGTGTCGCTACCGTTTTAAGGACTAAAAAGTACAATATTTGTATGCGTTTCAAATTATTGATTCGTCATATAAATTTACGGATAAAATTTTACTAAAAATGGGTGGAGGAAAATACCATTAAGTTTGTTTTCGTCTACATACATGGCACACAGTTATACTTAATGTTTCTTTATACTTTTTGTCTTGTTACTTTCCTTTGCTATATTCTACACAGTTATATATCGGATTCTGGCAGCTCGAGGTTAGAACGAACTTCGATATCGGGATACCGGTAAACCACTTCAGAGCCAACACCCCGCTACGTCAGGGTGCCCAAGATGGCCGACCTTTCATTGACATTTTTGACGTCACTGAGCACACCTGCGGATGGTTGACGCGCCAGAAAGCCAGCTTGTAGCCCCGTGCTGGAAATGTTTACATTTTTATGGCCCATGTGTTCGGGTCACTTTGAACAATGGCGTCACGCGTACTCGGGACATGTTTGTTTTCTCTTAACACTGCGCGGTAAAATCAAGGCGAGTTTGAAATAGAATGGTTCTAAATGTACATCGACGAGTATTTTTTGAAAGATAGAAAAGAAAATTCAATATATTTTATTACCACTTACCAACCTGATAGTTGATAGTAAGAGTACATTTTTCGCAGTAGATGGAACTGATATAACCTCCATAATGTACTGTAATTCCTGATTTTTTTTCACTGTACTTTTATATTTATTGTTTTCACAGTCACTTCTGTACCATGAACTTATCATTACAATTAACAAATAATTCCTGGACTTTCTTTTTCCTGCACCTGTCGCCACCGTGAATATGTAGTTCCATGAACACCTCCATTTTTCTCAGACCGTGAAATTTTGCTACCGAGAACATAAAGTGAATTACAGTATTTGATTCAACGTGGTTCTACTTAAAGATTTCTACTATTAAGAACAGCCAAAACATGATTATCAATATGATTATGAGAACAAATAGAATGTTTATGCCATGAGACTATGTCATACAGAAAGAACCCTCATCGTTGAGACTGAAACACATACCGCGTTTTTACATAGCATAGGCTACCATAGCAGCAATACTTCTGAAGTCCCTTGTTCCCAAGCACTGAGGACACGCTCTCAGTATAACGGGGTAGAGCCGCGAGGGCCGGTGTTGTTTTTGGACGCGTACGCAAGAGTTGTGGCCTCAAACCGTGTCACTTCTGAATGGTGGCGGGTTTAAAGTTAGAGGGTCCGCGCAGACGTGGTGGGGTGCAAAACACTTAGGGACTGACCAAAAATCATCGCAAGGGGGGTGGCAAAATCGGGCAAATTTACCAGGGTAGCACATAGAAATGATGATCTGCACAAGTGAACTGCACACGCAATTCATGTTGGTTTGTCCCTAACTAGTTGTTCAGGATCAGAAGCAACCATATGGACATGCATGTGAACATTGACAAGTCAACGAACTTAAAAATGTACATTATTCATAAGTATCAAACAAACGTCCTTCAGAAACACGTTTACGACTAATCCCCAAGTCAACAATCCCTAAGAGAAATCTAAATATATTTTTCTTGGTGTTTGAAATGCAACGTCTACAACTAGGAGTCAAAACTACGTGCCAGTAATTTGTTGTAGGGCTAAAAAGGGGGTTTGCCGAAGTATATATACTCACCCTTCTTTTACGCATTGCATGCCATGCCGGTAGATCGATGTTAAAACTTGGCGGATCGAACACTCCACAAGGACTGTGTGTACATTACTGTGTGTGTTTTACGTCATTAGCTATACTCCCAATCTCATGCTTACTCAAACACCGACATGGGAAACAGCAAATGTCCCAAGTATGTCTTTCTGTCGGGTGGGCGGAGCTACGCACGCTTGAGATCGATCTATTTTTTGATAAGTTGCTCCTTACAAATGTAGTGAAATATACAGTGTCTTATACAGTCTATAAATTCTAACGCGCACAATTTGACATCTTACCTCAGATCCCATTTTGTTTTGTTTTGTTTTGTTTTGTTTCTTTTCATTTCTTTTCAATTTTATTTTTTATTTTATTTTATTTTATTTTATTTTATTTTATTTTATTTTATTTTATTTTATTTTATTTTATTTTATTTTATTTTATTTTAATTTTATTTTATTTTATTCTATTTTATTTTATTCTATTTTATTTTATTTTATACGAACAATGAAAACACATACAGGGTTGTATGTCCCTAATCGGTTGATCATGAGGAAAAAATCGGTGAATTTTCCTGAAAATTCTAAGAGAAACCCTGAATTGGAACATTTTGGGAGAGGTTCTAGGATTTGGGGGGCGGGGGGGGGGCATTGCTTAGGGAGAACCCTGACACAACATAATAAAGAATAAAATGGAAAGACAAACAGTGTGCTGGAGGGGGCCCTCATAGGCTTATACTGAGCCTGCCTCCTTTAGACTTAATAAATAATACATGATACTGTAATAATGATCACAAGAATTTAACGGAAACAAAGATATCGTAAACTAGTACATTATCATGTTTTAACAAAACAGTTACTTTAACAAAACAGTTCACAATGACGAAAAAAAATTCCGAAGGTCAGAAATGTATTTTTTTACAAACATTCCTTGTATACCCTTGTATTTGAATGTTGCACATGGACCGATGTCGTATTCAAGAGTGCAATGTAAGTGCCATGTGTCTCATGATATCAACAACGTGGTGTCGTCTTCATTCGGCAAAACGTTTAAACTTGAAAGCTGAGAGTCTAGAGACAAGATGTTAATTGGGCATTTATTCTCTCACTGTATATGTAGGACACTTCACCACATTGTACTGGCTATACAGACGTCATGCCATCATTTCTCTGACGCAAACAGTCTTTCTAGTATTACATCTCGCCTAGGATAATGATAGAGTGTGCCACTTGTACCCTGTGAACATAATTGAGCCGCTGTGCCCGCACTCACGACGTTATTGTAGAGACAGCAGTTCAAAAGAGCTGTAGAAATGGCACCGTTTGATAGCTAGCGGAGATGCCTCTTCATTGTCCGACTGACACCGGTGTCAATTGTGAAAGGCGGGCGTACCTAGTCATATGGTCGGACCAAATACGGCGCGTGCAACACAATTGCTGTGTGAGAGTAAATGGTTTCTAAGCTTAACCCTTGTCCTGCGGAGCCCATATACATTGTATATGGGTAGCCTCCGTAGCAGGCTTATAGAACTGGGGATTTGGTTGTCTTCAGCTGTTTTCTGATTAGCCCAGTTCACCAGGCCGGCTATGTTGTCTATTTGCAATCAGAAAATAGCACATAAAAGCTCCCAAAGACCCTGAAGACCCCCAAAATCCCCAGTTTTTGGCATGCTATGGATGCTAATATATGGGTGGCACATACAGTACCACAAGAACATGTGTCACTGACCGCTGGAATTATGAAAGTTGGGTGAACTTTAAAATTTTATCTCACAAAAGAAAGGGGGAAAACGAACAATCCATACGAATTTAATGAAATTCGACCAATTGCAACTTTCCGTAAAATTTACAAATCAATGTATAATAAGTGCCATTTTTCCATATTCGTACGAATTCGAATATTCTATATATAACAAACACACTAAGAAAAATACAATGGGCCTTTTTTTTTAAATCCAAACTTTGGGTACATTTTTTAGATTCGTATGAATACTTCGGAACCATGTACACTGTCACTCCAATTCCAAATCAGCTGTGAGAGCGAATGGGAAAATAAGGTAAGTAATGAGAGAGCTAGCTTAGCTTTACCTATAGCCGCCTTCGTGTCTCCTTGCAATGCAACGCACCTTAGGCAACTCTAGATCTGTTTCTTCTTATACTATTACAGATGTCCTGTCTCCAATTTCTGGAGTATGCTCGGCATAATTGAACGGATCCATCATTTGGGTGGAGCGTAACAAGTTGACTATAGTTGGGAATAAATCCACGGTGGGACTTTCGGTACATGTCTTACTAACGTCTGAGTTAGCAGGCATGTCTTGAGGATTATATCGTTCGCCTTTCTTTTTACTTCTTTGAAGGAAAATTATTATATCATATTACATTATATTATATTACATTATATTATATTATATTATATTATATTATATTATATTATATTATATTATATTATATTATATTATATTATGTTATATTATATTATATTATATTATATTATATTATATTATATTATATTATATTATAAGGAAAACATGTTATTTTTGCTCCGTTTTCTCCTCCTCTTCTTCTTCTTCTTCTCCAAACCAATAAGGTCATTGACCTGAACCAGACGTCTGTCACCATAGTAACTGGTGTTGGGTTACATCATGTTGCAATTTTGTAGCAGGAGGGATTTAGACTCCTGTCACCATATATATATATATGAATGTATTTGAGTAAGAATTAACAGAGCAGACCATGTGCGAAGGTAAACAGTGTGCATTTAGTTTTTCGCTTATCATTTTTTGTATATACTTAGAGGCGAAGTTAAAAAACACAAAATGATCAAAAAGACTAAGAAAACATATATCTCATCGAAGTATATGTAAAAATTGCGTTTGAAATTCAGCCGGGGCTAATCATCTGATAAACTTCTACTGAACAGGGCAATGACGCCGGTACAGAAATTAGTGGTGTATTCAAACCTCGACAGCGTGACGCCAACAAAATTTATTCCCAATTAGCTGCCGCCTGCGGTACATGCACTGTTCTGAAAAGGCATCCATCCCTTTCTACAGTTAATTGGGCTCTGGAGTGGAATGAAGTGCTTCATTTGTTATGTGGACAGATGTCCTGAGGAAACCAAAGAATTTTTACATTAATTATGCACATTAGGTCATTATTTGCATAACTGGTATCTGTTGATGTTCGACCTGCCATAGATTACATACAGTACATGTATCATGTAAAAC